CAATTTCTTTCATAAGTATTCTATAGTTTTCAGAGTACAGATCTTTTACCTCTTTGGTTAGTTTAGTCCTAGGTATCTTATTATTTTTGGTGCCACTGTAAATGGGATTGATTCCCTGATTTCTTTTTCTGCTGCTTCATTATGGTGTATAGAAATGCAACAAATTTCTGTACCTTGATTTTATATCCTGTGACTTTGCTGAATTCACGTATTAATTCTAGCAAATTTTTTGGTGAAGTCTTTTGGGATTTCTGCATAGAGTATCATGTCATCGAATACCCAAAGCAATCTATACATTTAATGTAATCCTTATCAAAATACCACCAGCATTTTTCACAGAGCTAGAACAAATAATCCTAAAACTTGTATGGAACAACAAAAGACCCTGAATAGCCAAAGAATTCCTGAGAAAGAAAAAGCAAAGCTGGAGACACCACAATTCCAGAATTCAAGCTACATCACAAACCTTTAGTAATCAAGACAGTATGTTACTGGCACAAACACAGACACATAGATCAATGGAACAGAATAAAAAACCCAGAAACAGGAAACCATCAAAATCCTAGAGGACAACACAGGCAACAACCTCCTTGACCTCAGCCAGCAACTTCTTGCTAGACACATCTCCAGAGGCAAGGGACACAAAACCAAAAATGAACAAGCGGGACTTTATCAAGATAAAAATCTGCACAGTGAAGGAACAATAAACAAAAATAAAAGCAACTGACAGAATGGGAGAAGATATCTGCAAATGACGTATCTGGAAAAGGGTTAGGTATCCAAAAGCTATAATGAACTTATCAAACTCAACACCCAAAAAACAAACAACCCAGGTAAGTAATGGGCAGACAGGAACAGACATTTTTCCAAAGAATAAGACATACAAATAGTTAACAGACACATGAAAAGATGCCCAACATCACTCATCATCAGGGAAATACAAATCAAAACCACACTGAGATACCACCTCATACTTGTCAGAATGGCTAAAATCAACAACACAAGAAACAACAGATGTTGGTGAGGATGTGGAGAAAGATGAATCCTCTTGCACTGTTGGTGGGAATGCAAACTGGTGCAGCCATGTTGGAAAACAGTATGGAGGTTCCTCAAAAAATTAAAACTAGAACTACCCTACATTTGCACCCAGCATTTGCACTACTAGGTATTTTCTCAAAGGATAGAAAAATACTGCTTTGAAGGGGTAGATGCACCCCAATGTTTACAGCAGCATTAGCAACAATCACCAAACTGTGGAAAGAGCCCAAATGTCCATCTACTAATGAATGGCTAAAGATTATGTATACACACACATACATACATACATACATACACACAACGGAATATTACTCAGCCATCAAAGAGAATGAAATCTTGCCATTTGCAACAACTTGGATGGAGCTAGAGTGTATTATGCTAAGTGAAATAAGTCAGGCAGAGAAAGACAAATGATTTTCACTCACGTGTGCGATTTAAGAAGCAAAACAGATGAACATATGGAAAAAAAGAGACAGACAAACCATTAGAGACTCTGAATGGGGTGCCTGGGTGGCTCAGTTAAGCATCTGAATCTTGGCTTTGGCTCAGGTCATGATCTCATGCCTTTGAGTGTTTGAGCCCCACCTCACACTCTGTACTGGTAGAATGGAGCCTGCCTGGGATTCTCTCTCTCTCCCTCTCCCTCTCTCTCTGCCTCTCCCCCACTCATGCTGTCTCTGTCTCTCTCAAAATAAATAAATAAACTCAAAAAAAAAAGAGACTCTGAGTGACAGAGAACAACTGAGGGTTGATGGAGGGAGGTGGGTGGGGATGGGCTAGATAGGGGATGGGTATTAAGGAGGGTACTTGTGATGGGCACTGGGGGTTGTATGTAAGTGATGAATCATTGAATTCTACTCCTGAAATCAATATTGTACTGTATGTGAACTAACTAGAATTTAAATAAAAATTTGCAAAGAAAAAAAAATAAAGTGATCATAAAGGAATAAGATTCCAGAGAAACAACAAAAAATGACTTTTTCAATAAATTATATCTAAAACTCCAAAAAAAACCCCGAAACAAACCCCTAGCTGATAACTTTAAATACCTTTCAAGTATTTTTGATTTTGTAAATGTATTTTTAAATACAAAATATCAGTGTTTAGATAGAGGATAATAATATTATGTTTAAGTACCCAAGCCCTCAGTAAATGAAAACTACATGCTTCCAATTACTCAGACCAAAATAGCAGCCAGTATGTTCCTTTCATAAAGTAAGCCAGTATGCCATTACTCTGTTCAAAATCTTCCATAACTTATTATTACATACATACTATTACATACAGAATTAAATGCACAATCATCTAGCTTTTTAGACCAAAGCCTAGACCAAAATTTCTCCACTATCTTGTCTTTTACCAATCTGATCATTTCTCATAGCACATTCTTCCTTCCTCAATCAGTTACAGAAATATTGGTCACCCTTTAGAATCAATCTGTTTCTAAATTCTTATTAGAAGGGAAAAAGTTGGGGCACCTGGGTGGCTTGGTCGGTTAAGCGCCCGACTTTGGCTTAAGTCATGATCTCATAGTTCATGGGTTCCAGCCCCGGGCAGGCTCTGTGCTGAGCTCAGAGCCTGAAGCCTGCTTCAGATTCTGTGTCTCCCTCTCTCTATATCTGTCTCCCTCTCGCACTCTATCTCTGTCTCTCTCCCTCAAATATAATTTTTTTAAAAAATAAAAGTTTTAAAAATAAGACAAAAGTTATTGTCCACCTTTTACCCCATTTAATCCTAAATGAATCTCAGAATTCTTTTCTCCAACATGCCATCAAAATAGTGTTTGAAGAATTGTGGTATATTAATGGCCTCACTATTTTATGCCTCCACACAGCTATACTCTTCACTATTTGACTTAGATGTTTATCCCATTTAAAATGTCGAAGATATTTTTCCACCCCCTGACTTTGAATTTTGCAAATAATTGGCTTTAGCCAATTGAATGTTAGCAAGTATAAGTTGACCAATGGCTAGAAAGTGCATGAGCAGTTGGGATTTCTATCCTGTGATACAGCCAACTCCATGAGAAAAATATCCCTGGCCCAGACACCTAGTTCCAAAAGAAGAATTTAGGACATATGGAGAACAGCTGAGACTATCCAGATTCCCCATAAGAAAATGCCTAGAACTGCTGTGTGCCCAAACAAATTGTATTAAATAATTTTTTTTCATGAAGACAATGATACCTTTTTATATATAGATTATATGACTAAAAAGAAGGAGTTCAAAGTTTAAGGTACTTTCGTTTCCTCTTTGCTATTTATTATAATAGAAAATGAAATAAAAACTTTAAAGGCCATGCTCTAGCTTTGAAAAAGAAATTTTAATTAAAAACTTCAGTGACAACTGTTTTGAATAAAGGCACTAAAATGAACAAGAGCCTAATAACCAAGGATGATAGTAGAGAAAACTGTGGTCATCTTTGGGAGTGTGAGTGGAAAGGAAAAGGAAGGCAAGTGAAGAGATATTCTGAGAAAGTGAAGAGGCAAGTGAAGAGATATTCTGAGAAAGGTGAAAGAGATCTATTCTCAATATTGACCCATTTTTCCTTTCTCTATCTTCCCGGATATCAGTCTACTCCTATATTCAAAATCCTGGTGCCTATGATTCATTTTCCTCTATAACCTCTGTGCCTGCCCTTGCTAGTCAACATGTAGCCAGGATGGCAGGGGTCAGCAAAAGGAGCTTGAGGGTTTATCAGGGAGAGACCTGTTGGGGATTAGTGATTAATGAGCTACAGAGTGACTATTCTTGCTAAATTTAAGAATATATTTTATCATAGAAATAAATTCATTCTGGTTGCTTACGTTTGAAGGCATACAACACATTACTATGGCTCCAGTTTATTACTGAGGTGAAATAATAACTTTGGTAGGCAAAATAATAAAAATGTCAGCCTCGTATATAACATTGCTAATTTGAGATCATGTGTTCCATGCATTGTTGAAACTTTCACACAATTCAATTTTTTTAGAACCCCACCTATTCTCAATTGAGGATGGTCTGCATATATTAAAATCATAATTTCTAAAAATCCCATCTTGCATAACAGGCTAAGTGCACAAAATCCATAGCCATCAAGTTCTGTAGAAGAAATAAAAGAAATAGTTCTATTATTTAATTTTTAGATGATTTAAAAATATTATGAATTTGAATCAAAATATATACATAGATAAGTAAACCAAAAAGAATACATGGATTATATTTAATGTTTTATTTGCCGCCACAAATTGGAAATGGAAAAATTATGTAATAGTAATTTATTATAGTAACTAAACATTGAAATTCAGAGGCAAATAAAATTATGCATTTTTAGTGCCAACATAGAAACTAGATGAGCAACTGTTTACATTTAAATATCTTTATTCATTTGAAGTAATCATAATTTGATTCAAATATTATTTGCATTTTTATTTCTCACAAAATATTCATATTTTTAAAACCATCTTTTGGCTAGATATACTATAAAGTTTTGCCATACATAATATAATTTAAGTCATAGATTTGAAAGAGAGAGAATCTGCTTTGATTATTTTACCATTTTTTAACATGACAAAGTTAAATATATTAAGAGGGACTATTATGAAGTGTCTAGACAAACACTAATATTTCTTAAATGGAACCCGAAATAAGGAAAATTCTTTGTGAAGATTTTTGGACTTGAAGATACAACTGTCAAAATTAGAAATTCAGAATGATGCTACCATGTCAATGCCCATATGCACCAACTGGCTAATATTTTACAGAAGGCTTCTTAAAATTTTTTTAACGTTTATCTATTTTTGACAGAGAGAGAGAGACAGAGGATGAGCAGGGGAGGGGCAGAGAGAAAGGGAGACACAGAATCTGAAACGGGCTCCAGGCTCTGACAGAGCCTGATGCGGGGCTCAAACTCGCAGACCATGAGATCATGATCTGAGCCAAAGTTGGACGCTCAACCGACTGAGCCACCCAGGCACCCCTTACAGAGGGCTTTCTTGACGGTTGTTGGTATCAGGATCTGAATCATTTAACCAACACACCTGGTGATTGCTGAGAGCAATCCTCAGGGCCTGATAGAGAGCCATGCTTGGCTACAGTAGTAGAGTAGCCCATTCCTTTCAAAGAGTATTTTCTCCAGTTAACGTCTTTTCTTCTTTGTCCTCTTTTCTTATTTGGGCCAAGTCCTCTCTTTGGTTGCTAGTGTGGGTGGCTACCCGATCCATGTGCTTGTCACATGCCTAGTCCAAGCCAGGCTTCCTCAGCAGTAACTCCCAACTGCAACAAATTGTGAACTTGTGACAGATCAATACAGGACTGTTTAAAGTGTTGATGTGCCCTATTGAGATACTCACAAAGTTCTTCACCATTTCCATCATGATAATTTCAGACACCCAGAAGCAAGTAAGTCTTAAAAACAGTACCTTCTCTTTCCCACAATTTCCTTTATGTGGTTCAGTCTCTGATAGTTTTTCATCACAGCAATTTTAAAGGAGTTCTAGGATAACTTTATTTTTTTTTTTCCTGCAATTTCAAAGCATCCCAGTTGTTCCAAGTAGAAGTAGCTCCATGCTGTATCCAGCTGGAGCACTGCATAGTTATTCAGTTCTCTGCAACACTCAGAAAATGTGTCAGTGTCCAACAGACACAGCAAGACTACTCCATATTATTTTCTTTTCAGGAAAGCTCTGCCCTATTGATGATATCCCATAGGTAAAATAAGGGCTTTTCTTTCTGATGGAGGAATTCTGGTTGCTCTGCCTGTCTGGTTAGTTGCATGTTGTTTCTGGATTTACCACCTATTCAACCCTCTCTGATAATCTTCATAGTCTATAAATCCTCCAAATTCTTCTTATTCTTTTATTTTGGCTTTATTTTCCTCTTCTTCTCCAACCTGAAGTTTATCTCACATCCTCTTCAGACTGCTTTAGTTAGATCACTATAGTTTTTACATTGTGTTACTATTCGTTCTTTAAGTGTTTCTCCTAATTGAAGTTCTTTCTCATTTATGACAATTTTGATATAGTTTTATTGAAAGCCAAAGGTTTCAGCTCTGTTAGACTTCAGTTCTCTGCTTTTAATATACAACCAGTCCTCCAACAAGTGGGTTTTTTTGTTTTGTTTTTTTTACCTTTTCTTAGTCTTGAAGGTGAAAATACTCAACTGTGGCAATTCCTATTGTCTTATAATTTTCATTTCCTGTTTCATGCTCAATTGCTTTTTAACATACTTCTTCTATTATCTTTCCTGCTTTACTTTTGCAACCTACTAGCTTGTCAGAGTCCTTAGCAAGGTCCTTCAATGCCAAACCAACTTCTTCATTTTCAACTGTATACAAAGATCCCCAAAGTTGCACTCTGTCTTCCCTTAAAAACTAGGTCAGGTTTGCTTGAATTCCGTGCCACCCTGCACCATCAGGGCTTCTGCAGCAACCCACCAAGTACCTGGATGCAGAGGCAGCCGTGGTTTGTTTTCATTACACATGAGGACCCCCGTGTTCAATGTACTTTGATTATATGCCAGTGCCTGTAACAGATGTTCCATTCACTTTTGCATTTGTGTCTCATTACCTTAAAAAAATAAAATACAGTGATTTTACCTATTTGGAGAATGAGATTTCTGAAAGTTAGGAAGTTAACTGTGAAAGCTGTAAATCCAGGATTAAAGATGTTCACATACGATTTTCTAATTTCCACCAATAAGATTCTTGACTATGTTTACATTGTGGTGATTTTTCATATTTGAGGACATATGTTTGCTTTTATATGGGCAATACAAAACCAGCAGAAAGAAAAACAAAAGTTGTCCTTTAACTTCTATGTACTTGGGATTCAACCATTCCTTACTAAGTATACTGTCCTATCTGTTAAGCTTCTCTCAAAGTAGTGGGGCATAATTAAATTACCATGGTAGCAGGGAGCAAGCATATATGAACAATATGAAATATATCCAGCAGGGAAATATGGGTACAAAGTAAAGTGACCCAACTGCAAATGTTTTCTCTCAAAGTAGAGCCTTGTAGGTGAGGTTTGGTAGAGGAAGCTGTTAACTTTAGTATCTATTGTCTTTACCACTTGATTGTAATAGCTCCTTGTTAGTAGGGGTTCCATCTTGTTTGCTATTGTATCAGCAGATCTCTGAGTGTTAAGCTGAGCACAAATGTTATTTCTCAAATGAGTGAACACTCAATAAGATGGATTGATAATTGACTTGTCAATATCAACAAGATCCAATCTAGGAGCCTAAATATGAGAACAAGCTCTGGTCAATGAAAGAGAGACAGTATGCTTATCATACTGGTAAAAGTTTCAGGTTAGGTCTCTAAATATAAGGGGTAATAACAGGAACTTGGCAAGGAATAAGGACAAAGCACATGTTTAATCCTAGAAACTCTGTGCCAAAATGTGGATAAGACAGATTGATAAGGTAAAATGTAAATTTGTAATAACAGTGAATAAAAGGTTTTTCTCTAGATTCACTAAAAAATGAGTCACATTAACTAAGGTGTCTCCAAGGTATAGAAGCTTAGAAACTCTGAATAGGCCAAAATATCCCTGTTGGATGGAGGTCTGGGCAATCTGAGACATTTGGAAACATATTCTGCTTCTTTCTGTACAGGTTCAGAAACTGGTGCAAGAATGATTTGCATGCAGGAAATCTAATTTTCATGTATTGACAATGAACTACTTTATAGTTCCATTTATTCAGGGTGACTCTGAATCCAAATATGGATATAAACATGTTGACTTGACATAATTATCAATGGCATAACTTTGTTTTCCAAAATGTCTCAGTTTGAATGATAAATTAATTTGGACTTTATTGAAACTTTATTTTACTCATGTTTATTTTACTTATAAGACTTTGTCTGTCATATCTCCCATAAAAGAATTCAAATTTCTGGACAATGGCCATGCATTTCCCATGTAAACACAATATGTTATAGTTGATCGCACTGAACTCTCTCTTAAAATCCTGACTCTACTCCTAATGTGAGGTTGGGCAAATTATTTTAACTTTAACTTTAGTTTTATTGTCTATAAAGTAGAAATAATTATAGTACCTGGTATACAGTTTGAAAATTAAATAATATACAGTTTGACATATATGTAGAAGGCTAAGCATTGTGCTTGGAACATATACTACTTAGTAACTTCGACAGTTTAGTTATTATAATACAAATTAATATAATATACTATAACAGATGTTATGAGTTCACAATAAAAGTTATAACTTCCAGGGAAAGGGGACAGGATTGAGTTAAAAGGGGAAAGGATTGAGTTAATTAAAATTTATGGATAAAGGAAACATTTATGTCAATGCAGTGGAGGACAATCTCATGAAAATGAAAGAAACATGAATAAAATCACAAAAGAAAATGTATGTTTAATGCAGAAACTGATAGGTGATTCATTTGATAAAATTTCAGAATAAGTAAAAATGAATAAAGGGCAATAAATTGTAATAAATAATATGAGGAGTATTTACTTGGTTTTCCAGCTCTAAATAGGTCCTGCCTGAATTTGAATCTTTTTTTTTTTTTCACTAACTAGATGTATATCTTGACTAGATAAACTAGACTTTGTATGTATTATTTTTTTCATCTAGAATATGTTTCAGCAGAACATGTTTCACCTAGAATATATTTCAACTAGAATATGAAATAGTCATTAGAATATGTTGACTAATAGCTTCTATTTCATAAGGTTTTTTTGAGAGTTAAATAATTCTCATATATAACACATACATAGTACAAATATACACATACACATATATATGTAATATTGCTTAAAATAGCTATTGACATGTAGAAAGTGTTCATTAAATGCTAGATACTTCAATATCAAAACTGTTAATAATATAATCAAAAGATATTGTCAAGAAATTGATGGGATGGGTTCATTGGACCTGATGTCTTTAAGCTTTAAAGGAAAGCATGCCATTACCTTAGGAGACATGAGAGGATGTGGATTCAGGCTAAAAAGATGAAATTTACGGAATAGATGGTATTAAATTTAAAGTGCTGCTGGGGCATTCAGTTACTGTTGTTCAGGTGACAAGAGTTTTATGGCTAATGGCCTTCAGAAATGATCAGAGATCGAACTACGGAGTATGCTTTAATGAAGGCTGGGATGCATGGAGACTCACAATAGAAAGCACAGTCATAGATAAAACAACTTGCCCAAAGCCACTGTGCCAATAGGTGGTAAATTGGGGACTCAGGGGTTAGTTTGAGAAGTGTGGAAATTTCTTTGAAACTCCATTACCTATAGAATGGTGGGATGGGGTTAGAGAATTCCTTTCTCCCCCCCATCAAGAAAAGTCCCTTAATTTTTACAGAAGCTCTTAAAAAAAATTAATGTTTATTTTTTTTTGAGAGAGACAGAGCACGAGCCAGGGAGCAGGGAGAGGAAGAGGAGGGGGGACACACAGAATCTGAAGCAGGCCCCAGGCTCTGAACTGTCAGCACAGAGCCCGACTCTGAGCTCCAACTCATGAACTGTGAGATCACAGCCAGAGCCAAAGTCTGCCTGAGCCACTTATATGCCCCTTTACAGAAGTTCTTAATTTGGTTTTGAGCATGGACACTGGATTCAGCTACAATTTATCTGTTAACACAACCAGAAAGATTTGATTCTGTGGGCCTTATACCACCTTAAAATTATTTTCAAAGACGCTAGATTTTTCTTTAATTGACTGTATTATCAATTTCTCTGAATGGATTCTTTTTTTTCCCAAAAGTTTATTGTATTTCTCCCTTTTTCACTCCTTACCAAAGACAAGAAATATTTATTCTAAATGAAGTTACTGAGAGGAAATTATGCAGAATTTAGCAGCTTTCTCTTGGTTTTATGGGGTTCTTACGTCCTTATCCAACTAGAAGTCACAGTTATCTAGCTCTGCTTGTGACTGAGTGGTTTCATTACTGAGCTGAATAGTGTGCCCTCCAAAATTCATGTCCACCAGAACCTGTGAATGTGACGTTATTTGTAAATGTGATCTGAGCAGATGTAAGCAAGCTAAATGAAGTCATACTACATTCAGATGGGCTCTAAATCCAATGACTGTGTCCTCATAGGGAGAGGGAGATTTGGAGAGACACAGAGATATGGAAGTAAGAGGATTATGTGAAGATGAAGACAACAATTGGAGTGATGCGGCTATAGTTGAGGAACACCAAGGATTGCTGGCCATCACCATTCACTAGGAAGAGGCAAGAAAGAATTCTTCCCTACAGCCTTCACAGAGGAATGGTCCTGCAGACATCTTGATTTCAGATTACTAGCAACTAGTACTCTACAAGAAGAGATTTCTGCTGTTTTAAGCTACCCAGCTTGTGGTAATTTGTTATGGAAACCTTATGAAACTAATCCTGGAGTGAAATATTGGGAAATTGACGTAGTCCTATGCCAAGTTCTCCAAATAGCTATAACAGGAATGCATACATATGCTTTTGTCTTCTTTTCAAATATACACTTGGGTAGGAGGATGAGGAGAAGGGGGAGCAGGTGTGTAATTTGTTCTTTCATTAAAATATCAACATAATGTTTCCTCACTAGGGAGGCCAAATTTAGGAAAATAAACTATATCAGCAATTATAAATAAACTCTGGAAAATTTGCTGAAAAGACCTTTCTAAGACTGAACAAAGAAAATTGTCAAATACTTTGGAACTATATCCTCCTAGAATTGCTTTGGTTTCTGGTTTCGAGGCTACTGTTTCAGAGTAGTAATGCCATTTATAAATATATAATGTCACTTCCCCTTAGCCTATGAGTCCCATATTTGGAGGGGCCATATGTATTATGCAGGCTGTTTTATCCCTTATCTCTTGAACAGTGTCAGACACATGAATACTATTCAATAAATACCTATTTATGGGGGCGCCTGGGTGGCTTGGTCGGTTAAGCGTCCGACT